TAATGGGATAAACGAATTTATAGAGCACTATATTACCGTTGTAACTGATAGGAGAAATACGGTAAAAAAAAGTTTGCGAGCATTGAAATATTATAATTAAAATAATATATAATAATAGAATAGTGGAAGATTTTTATTTATTTAATGGGGTTATGAAATCCCAATTCTCTACTTTTTTTCGCTGAAATTTCACCCCCTTTTTGTGTTACCAAAGTGCGTCGCTTTATTATTATATTTATTTTAGTCACCTATTTGGTTGTTGGACTGCCTCAAAAACTGGCCGTGAATCATATTTCCATGGCATTGCACATTTTCAGTTTTCCCGCCGTCAGTTTTCTGTTCGCAGTTGGCACTTTTGCAGAGCGAAATAACAAAGCCGCGTTGGCGAATCTGGGTTCTCGTTTTTGCCATTGTTGACAACAAATGAGCGCCATTTAATGCGCTTCCTAGTGGTTTGTTGTTGCCGTCGTTGTTCGCCGGTTGTTCGTTGTTCGTTGTTCGGTGGTGCTCATTGTTCGGTTGTTCGTTGTTTGGCGTAATTAAGCAGCGCTTTTCCGTCTTCAGTCGCCACCACTTTGCACTTGGCTTGCACTTTTCCAGCTTTCGGTTTTCAGCGCTCAGCATTCAGCGTTCAGTTTTCAGTTTTCAGATCATTTACGAGCACTTGGCATTCGCCGTTCCACTTTGCCAAACATTTGCTTACAAGCATGTTTCGCTGTCCGCTCTTTTTGGTCTTTAGTCTTTAGTCTTTAGCTTTGGCGACTTGTTAGCGCCATGTTTACACTCTGGAAAAAGCTTAATTAAATCTACGATTGCTCCGAGCTTTCCATTCCCGTTTTATTTTCGGCCACTTACCAAGTCATTCCACCCGTGGCCAAAAATTAACACTCCATTTAGCATAATTTCACACCATCTCTTCCATCGCCTGACAAGTCCATTTTGTCTTTTCCATTCTCCCATTATGTAATCTTTCGCGCCTGGCCAAAAAAAAGGTCCCATAAATGAAAGGAGAATTAAAATTTAGTTTTTGGGTAATTAGTATCGAAGTTGGAGGTACCCTGGAATAAAATAAATATATAATATTTTTGTTAATTTGCATTAAAATAAAATATTATTTTAACTACCACTTAACACCAACTTAACCCTTACCCTTCACAACTCCATCGATTTAAAGTGGCAACTTCTTTTGCGAGTTAATTAACACTTGGCCAGGGTATGACCATTTATACGGATGTATGTATATCTGTGTTTATCCAAACTCTGCCAGCCATAAATCAAAAATCTCGACACTCACCCTGCTGCACCTCCTCCTCCGCGAGTCCGAATCCGATCCCCGATTTCGCGTGCTAACAAGGCCCCAAAGCGGCGGAACCTTGGAGAACCCAGAACTCGGCTGGCGTGAAAATTTATGTTTTTTTCAGCTTTTTGTTCACTTTATTTTATGAATATACGTAGATATATATATTCTGGTATATGGGGGACAGCGCGAAAGAAGTGGGAAAAAGTTGGGCGGCGAGGAAAAGCAGGAAAAACGAGCCAATGCCGTTGGCCACATTTGCTGGTGTAAAGTTTTTCGCATAGTTGTCAGCATTGCGCTGTTTAATTACCCTAATTAAGAATATTAATTGCCCTTCGGGTGGATAATAATAAAAGGCGAGGGGATGGGGGTGTGGTGACCCTGTTCCCGGAAATAGAACATGAATTATGATATGCAAAAAACAACTTTCAGACCGTTTTCCATTTAAGTTGCGAAATCGAAAAAGTTGAGACAACTTTAAAGGGGGCAAAAAGGAGGGGGTCAGGACAAAGGACACGCACTCCATTAAACCAAAAAGGGGCAGACATATGCGACAACAAAAACAATAACAACAGCAAAAGCAAGCCACTAACTGGCAGGAGGTGAAAGGTGAAAGCCGAGGGATGAGCAGATGGACACAGGTGTCCTGTCGCTGGCCCATCAACACCTCTTCCTCGGCTCGCCAGCAAGCCAACAACGCACACACTCCGGCACTCGGAAACTCGAAAACTCGGAAACAGACGGGTCCGGCTCTTTTCATTTTCTCAACACGTAAAGCAAACACGTGACCGTTAAGGACATGGACTCCTGCTGCCCCTTTGCTCTTAGTTCCCCCACCCATTGGCCCACTCCACTCAGTTGTAGGCGCAAATTGCCAACAGAAGGACAACGACAACGAGTGCACTGGCAGAAATTGGGGAGGCAGTCAGTAAAATCGTTTATACCTATAGGAACTTAAAAATTATTAAAAATACATAAAATTTAACCTTTTCCTTGATTAAAAAAATCACACCTATTTTTTTTTTAATTTTGATATTTTTTTGCACTTAATTTTTAGTTAGGTAAATGAAATTCTTAGAATTATTTGTCGTTTTAGGAGTTTTTTGGGCTTTAATTTAAGAGTGAAAAATCTCTATAATATTGATAAAGGTCTTTTATTAAGCAATCATCATTAAACACCTTCTTGGCATTAGGGCTTCTCTATACCTACATATTTTTAAATCTTATAATATTTCAACTTTTCTATAATTTTAATTAATATGCATTTTTGAGGAGTTTTGGCCTTTAATTCGAGAGTAAAAAAAATCTCATTATACCCTTGCAGAGGGTATTATGATTTCAGTCAGAAGTTTGCAACGCAGTGAAGAAGACGTCTCCGACCCCATAAAGTATATATATTCTTGATCAGCATCACAAGACGAGTCGATCTAGCCATGTCCGTCTGTCCGTCTGTCCGTCCGTCTGTCCGTCTGTCTGTCTGTCCGTCTGTCCGTCTGTCCGTCTGTCTGTTTCTACGCAAACTAGTCTCTCAGTTTTTGAGCTATCGGGACGAAACTTTCGCAAAAGTATTCTTTCTATTGCAAGTAGTATATAAGTCGGAACCGGATCGGACAACTATATCTTATAGCTACCATAGGAAAGATCGAAAAAAAAACTATAAAAAAAATTCTAGCTTTGGTGTTTTTGGACATATTAACTTCTTCTCTTGGGAATGTTATTTTTTAAATATTTCTGAATTTCGAATTAATTATTTCAAAAATCGGACTACTATATCATATAGCTGCCATAGGAACGATCGGAAAATTAATGGAAAAGTAATAGGAAATAAATTCTAGCTTCTTTGGTTTTTATTGTATTATCTTCTACTCTAGGATATAACTCTTTTTAAATATTTCCGAATTTCAATTTTAATTTGATCAAAATCGGACGACTATATCATATAGCTGCCATAGGAACGATCGGAAAATTAATGAGAAATATTAGAAAATTGAACATTTTTGCGATTTGTTAATTGATAGGAATGATCTGCAAGGGTATATAAGCTTCGGCTGGCCGAAGCTAGCTTCCTTTCTTGTTTTTTAATCAAAATAGTTCCTATTAAATACCTCCTCACCAAAAGGGCTTTTCTCGCAGTGCACAGCTGAGAGACCCCACCGTAAACTGACGGCTTATGGCAGACACAGCACAAAGCTCCGCTCTGCTCCTGCTGCACCACCCCCTCCTTTAAACCACCCCATATCGCAGCTACGTGCGTGTGTGCACAATATTCATATATCACAAGGATAAGCGCAATGCAGCAAACGTCCTTCCAGACGTGCCGTTCGTTGCTGTTGTTGTTGTCGTTTGTGGTGCCTTGTCCTTTTCCCGAGCCAACTGCTTTTGGATTCGGTAGCAGTAGCAGTAGCACCACCACGAACACCACCCCCTTTCTGCGCCTCCTCCTGCTCGTGGTGTGTGTGGTAACTTTTAATTATTTGCGAATGTTGGCGCCAGACGGCGAGATGCGATGCGATCCTGTCCAGGACTGTCGCCCGTTCCATCCTGTCTCCTTTCCTTCATTGATTTCGCTGACCAGAAGTTTAGGCGGCGGTAGGAAAAGGGGGTGTGACAAAAAGGGGGTGTGCATACGCCGGTCAAGGCGAAGGCAGCGCCAAAATCCAAAGGCCCCATAAACTTTGAGCGCCATAAAATCTGCTGGCAGCGCCATAAAAATTCCCACAGCGGGAGTTGGAGACTGGATACCCAAACCCCTTTTGCGCCCTACTGTACTCCCCTTTACACCCATCTAACAGTGCCGTCCCTTTCCCAACTGTACAGACAAACGCATAAAACTAACGCAGCGTAAACGCCGCCGTTGTTGTCATCTGTCTTCTCGTTACGTTATTTCTTTTTGGCAGCTTCAGCACAAAATTTATCTTATTTATTTGTTTGACTGAAAGCCAACTCAAACGGATGCCGGGGAAATTGCTGCATTTTGATGCTTGACTGATTGCTCCCCAAAAACATATCTTTAATATGCCTCTATATTTGGCTTTATTTCGAACTCAATTACGTAAAGTAAGCTTAGCGAAGGAGTCCCGGCGATCTGGCAACGCTGCGCGTGACAAGTGCTAAAAATATCGAGTGCAAGTGAGATGGCTATCTGCATAGTAGGCGTGATAAAGCGAAATAGATAGCTTTCTTTTTGCAAAAAGTTTGTCCCAGAAGAAAGCCGGTTTTTCAGCTGTTCAAATCTACAATTTTCCAAAGCATCCCGCATTCAAAAGGATTATTGTGATTGTGTTTATTTAACTAAAGTGATACGTATCCTTTTATTGGTTTGTTTCTTGTGCAGAAGATCTGAACAAGAAATGGTGGTGGGTGTATTCTCAAAAATTTGAGGCAGAAACAGAGATTGCCAAATTTTTTACCTGTTAGGAAATATACTCGATTTATTTCAGCTTCAATTACCTTGTTAAAAATAGTTTGTGCAAAAGTCTCAATTCATCCATGTCCAGGTTTTTTTAGGTTAGGTAACCAAAACCTGAAAAATAATTATTTATTGTGTGAGTTTTATGGTGATAAAAAATGCTACATAGTCTCCCCTGAATCTTCAACACTAATTTCTAATATTTTCATATAGTTTAAGAAACTAATTTTTAACAGATACTAGTTTTTGTTATAACCCCAATTAATTTGATGCATTCTTCTTCTCTATTTTCAGTCTCGCCAGGTAGCCCGCAAGAATCCCAGACCTCGCAGGCTGGATACCTTGTGGCCGGAGTTGCCAAGGTCGCCACATCCGCAACGGGAGACTCTCCCCCCACCCCCTGCACAATCCCCAACCCAATCCCAATCGGAAGCCTCCAATCCGCCGCTGAAGCCGCAAAAAGTTGACCTCATGACGATGGCAGAAGGCACCGACCCCATGGGGCATGGTCACCACACGAATCCGCACAATCCGCCCCAGCAGCCGCCGCAGCACCACCCGCACCACCTGCCCCTGCCCCACCCCCCGCCGGCCCCGCCGCCGCAGCTGCTAAACTTCAACCACCACCATCACCACCACCACCAGCAGCAGTATCTTCCCCACATGTATCCTGCGCCCGCGGCCGCTGCCCAATCTCACTCCCACTACGGTGGCCTGCAGTATCCGCATCCGCACCAGCACCACCCCCACCACCAGCAGCACCACCCCCACCTGCCGCTGGCCCTGAGCCTCCATCAGCAGGCGGCTGCTGCGGCGGCGGTTGCCGCAGCGGTGGCCACCAACCACTCGAACAACAACAATCAGGCCAGCGTGGCCAACAACAACATTGTGGGGCCGTGGAAGCAGCGCAAGCGCAAAAGGCTCTCGGCGGTGCTGGACAAACTGCACCACCACAATAACAACAACAACAATGAAAGCCATTCGAATGGTCTGGCCTGCAAGGCGGAACCCATGGAGATGGAGGAGGATTTGGGCGAAGATCAAGAGCACGAGGAAGAGGATCTCGATGACTCCATACCCGATGAGGCGGAGGAGGAGGATCCCGGCAAGTTCATCAAGAGCGAGCAGCCCGTCAGCGAGGACGAGGAGAACGCGGAACCGGAAATGGACAACGATAACGATAACGAGGACATTTCCGGCGAGGATCTCGAGCTGTCGCACAGCGATGACAACGATCAGGATAGTCCCCGGATCAGCATGAGTCCCCTGCAGCTGCAGGCCTCCTCTCAGAGCCACCAGCCGCAGGATCAGGATCAGAATCCAAATCCGAATCAGAACAAGGAGAATCCGCTGCATGTGGACATCAAGACTGAGATCCCCAGCCCCTACGACCGGTACTTCCCGATACCGTCGCCCCTGTTTGGCTACTACCTGCACACCAAGTATCTGAACGAGGTGTTCCGCCGGCGCCACGATCTCTATCCCTCGCCGCTGCAGCACACCCCCTCCTCGATGGCCTCCGAGACGGAGACGTCGCCCACGGGAGTGCCGGAGCGGATGCTGCCCCACGCCCTGCTGGCCAATAACTCGCCTCCGCCATCGCTGCCCTCGCCGCCGCGCAGCGAATCCTCGGTGACCAATGCCAGCCAGCCAAATACCAGCAGCAGTAGCACCACCACCAAGAAGCGCACTAGTCCCAAGCCCAAGGGCAAGAAGGGGGGCGACAAGAAGCCCATGCCGCCGCCCCAGGAGCGTCCGCTGGATTTGTGCGTGCGCAGCGAGGTGGAGCCCAAGAAGTACAAGAGATCCGGTTCGAAATCCTCGCGAGAAGAGTCCCGTTCAGCGGTCATGATGCCACCGCCGGCTGCCTTGAGCGCGGCCAGCAGTCTGGAGAGCATGAGTGCCCTGTCGCCCGCCTCGAGTAGCCACTCGGGTCACATGCCCATCACCACCGCTGCCACGCCCAACCACCAGCCACCGCCCAACTCCCCGTATGCCAATGCCATGAACGCTGCCCACGCAGCGGCAGCGGCGGCGGCGGCGGCCATGATCAAGATGGAGATGCCATTGCACCCGCTGCACCACCAGCAGATGCACCACTCGCAGGTGCCCACCACCACGGTGGGTGTGCCGGTGATCAAGGGCGACGTGGCCTCGCCGACGACCAAGGAGACGGTGGCCTGGCGCTACAACCTCGACGTCTCCCCGGTGGTCGAGGAGATGCCCCCCGGCTCGGATGTGGCCTACGTTTGCCCCACCTGCGGCCAGATGTTCTCGCTGCACGACCGCCTGGCCAAGCACATGGCCTCGCGCCACAAGTCCCGCAATCCCGCTAACGATATTGCCAAAGCCTATTCCTGCGACGTCTGCCGGCGATCCTTCGCCCGCTCCGACATGCTGACCCGCCACATGCGCCTGCACACCGGCGTCAAGCCGTACACGTGCAAGGTGTGCGGCCAGGTGTTCTCGCGCTCGGATCATTTGTCCACCCACCAGAGGACCCACACCGGCGAGAAGCCCTACAAGTGTCCGCAGTGCCCGTATGCCGCCTGCCGTCGGGACATGATCACCAGGCACATGAGGACCCACACGAGATACGATTCCAGGGGAGGATCGAGGGAGGGTCGGGAGGGCAGGGAGGGCCGGGAGTCGCGCCGCAGTGGTGGCGAGCGCATGGAGGAGTCGCCGAAGTCGCCCGGCGCCCATCCGCTGCTCGACATGAAGATGAACATGAACATGGGCATGGGAATGGGTCTTAATATGGGCCTGCCCATGAACCCGATGAGCCTGCTGCAGGAGGAGCTGCTGCAGAAGTCCCAGCCCGGCCTGACCCTCGGCGGACCCATGCCCCTGGTGGTGAAGACGGAGAGCGCCTAACGGTGTCCATTTATGACCTGTTAGGTCCAGCTTAGTGCTACAGAAAAAAATCTAAAAAAAAAACATTAACTAGAGCAGTTTGTACTTGTACCGGAACTCTCTGCGAAGACTGAGGAACCTTAATACTACCTACAGTTTAAATAGGCTAAAGAAGCATCAACTAATTTTTTTAAAAGAGCAAAAGAGTTAGAGGGCAGCACTCAAGACCACCCAACGTATTAGCACCTAAACTAGTTCTAGTTGCTAGATCCTTTCGCGTTAAATGAACCCCCCGGAGTTTAGATAGCCAGGATCTTCGATACAGCTAGCAATTCCATGTTCCACACCTAGGCTATACTACTATATATATATAGGCGGTCGGATTCCCTTAAAGGATCCGATCTCTCAGCATTTTGAGCAACGTTGAAATTATTAAGCTAGACTCGCTACAATAGGCTAACAGGCTTGCCGCATCGGAGGAAGGCACTAGATTCGTACTCCTAGTTTTAATTAACTCTTAATTTATTTGTAACATTACTCAGCAGCATGTAAACTTATACCACAACAATTTGTATTAATTTAATTTTACTCTATTTAATTTAATTTAATTTAACGATAGCCTACAGAAAAACACAAACAAAAGACAAAGAATTCTCCCTAGGGCTCAAAAAAATATGACACACAAAACAAACTCACTTCTATCGAAATCTTAAAAGAGAAACGAACACTAAACAAAAAAAAAACAATTCCTTTTTTTTGTTCAACAAAAAACACTGTTAAATTTACATTATCTTGTAATTGATTTTATGCTTGCTCTTTTAATGTTTTACTACTTTTTGTTTTCATGAAATGAAATAAAAACCTTTAAGTTTTCTTTAGTTCATAAACCATCTTTGGATTGGACACACCTCCTCCTCACCCCCTCCGATCCCTCGAGAGGGGACAGGTTAACCCGCTTGTCCCCCCGGGGTCGGATTAACCCCTCGGGGTCGTTTCCATGTTTCAAGTTGAAGTTTTTCGTTATTTATTATAAAAAAAAAGAAACAAAGCCCCGACTCCCGCTTATTGATTATTAGTTCTTAGCTAAAAGTTTAAATAAATTATTAACTTATGTTATTCTAGTTGGTTATGATTAGCCCTTAGTTAAAAACGTTTTTCACAAAATAAAACAAAACAAAGTCTACACACAGATGGACAATGTCATACAAAACAGAATTTAAAGCTAAAGCATTTTGTTATTATTTCAATTGGTTTTTATTGGTTATTTTTCAGATGGATTATTTCTACGATTTTCAGATTGTTTTTTAAAGGCTTTAAACTATTTAAGCATATTTTTTCAAAGGGACTGCCCACTTAATTTGGTTATTATTTCAATGATTTCATGATTAGCGGTGTGGATTTTTTCTACGATCATAAAACGTATACTTTAGCCACAGTTTTCGAGATGGATGATTTCTATGATTTTCAGATTGGTTTTTTAAAAGGCTTTAAAATATTTAAGCTTATCCCTCCAACGGGATTGCCCACCTAATTTGGTTATTATTTCAATGACTTCATGATTAGCGGTGTGGATTTTTCAGACATATATTTTTTCTACGATCCTAAAACCTATACTTTCGCCACAGTTTTCGTGCTTCAGCCGGAGACGATGTCGTAGTTTTGGCCGTAGTCGCAGCCGGAGCCGGAAACTGGCTTACAAGCTTTTAGGCAATGGGAATCGCTTACAAGGCGCAGGCAGCTCCTTTCGCCGGTCACGAAACTGCATTTTGGCACGCAGCCCCCGCCTTTGCCACCCACTCCTCGCTTTTCGGCTGGTTTTTCCCACGCTGACGATGCGGGGGTGTCGATGGGGAGGTGGAGTTGGAGGAGGCACCGATTCAAGTCCTTGTTCTTCGCATGGAAATTTTCTTTGGGGCCTAATGGCCTCGAAACACGAAGAAGGCCGTCCAGGCGTGGGAGTTCCATGGGTGGCGGCTTTCGGGGGGTCGGTCTGTGTTGGGACTTGCTGCATTGCAGTTTGCGGCTAATGTCTGACCTTGTTTTGCAATGACTAAATTAATTCCTTAATAAGTGCGGTTGCAAAACAAACACGAAACTGCAGACGTGGCACAGTTGGCGACTTGGCCGGGTACACCCACTACCCCTTCACCCTCCCACCACCCACCTACATTTTCCACCGCCCCTGCTTGTGTAATTAAGCAGTGAAAATGCCCCAATTGACAGACATTGTGTTGGCTGCGGAAAATGGAGGAGTTTCGCATCTCTGGGGCAATAAATCAGGGCGAGGGCTAAGTAGCCATCGTGTTGCAGCTAGCATGTTGCACTCTATCACTTTACAGGGGCGGGGGGCGGGGTAGGGAAGGGGGGTTCCGTGGAGGGTGACTTATGGCCCAAACTGTATTAGCCGGGCCTAGATGTGATGATGCCGCATTGCATAATCCGCTCGGGTCGTGCATCATTTTGGCCAACATCGCCATCGCCTGACATTATTTGCAGCTTGCAGCGGATTTTTCTCCTTTTTCGAAATACCCTCTATTTAAAAAAGGGGGGTAGATGGGTTTAGTAAATATCTTTTAAAATTCAAGTTTTAACTATAAGTTTATTTTTCTTAAAAAACCCCTTTTTTAATATTTTAGAATTTGTTCATATATTCTTTTGATTGATTTCTCATTTTGCATAAATATGTTATTTTTTAAATCAACCATTATAATTTTTACTGCCTTAATGCTATAGTAATTTTTTCCCATATCAAGTGGACATCTAGTGGTCGGGATTTCGCGGCCTTACCATTTTCAAGCGGTCTCTTCTATTTTCACTCGCTTCTATTCTGTGGCACGCATAAATCTCTAAACAAGGCGCGCGTGGCGTGTCGTGCGTTTATTATCACTTCCTCTCCACAAATCCAGGGGCGGCGTGCGGAGGGGGTGGTGCAGGAATTCAGATTCAGGGGGATGGCTGGCATCCAACTTTCCTTTTGTCTCCGCTCGCGAAATTTATCGCCGTCATTTGTAATTGTAGCGCGAAAATTGAGTTTGAGTTTGAAGTTTTGGCCAGGGTGGTCAGGGGTGCTCACAGGGACAGGGTTTATGCATTGTTTCCATCAACATAATTCAGTTTGGCTTTGGATCAGCTCCAAGTGATTGTTTCGCCTAGCGGAGATTTACGAGCACTAAGCTGGAACCGACGACCGGTCTCTAACAAAATAAAAACAGAAACGATATTGTATATAGGCTACCATAAATAGAGAATTAGATCTAGATTTATACTTAGTTATAGTGCTATATATTTCCGTCACACGGAAGTGCCTTAACAACAACAACCAAACATTTTTGATACTCGACAAGAACAAAAATAAAAACTAAGCAACAACTAAAATTGAGATATTGTAAGATAGAATTTTTGCCTTGTACATTGAGCGACTTTTGCCAGGCCTAATCAACTTTTTGACTAATGATAAACAATAAATTATAAAGGTTAGCCCACGCGAGGGCATATATACATATTATATATATAAAGTATATTTACCAGTTATACGTAACATATTTTTAAAGAACAGAAAACATAGTCGTAAGATTTTTCAACTCAACGCTTCTGAGAAGTTAAAAATTTTAAGCATTAAATGCTAAACGCATTCAGTCAAGTATTTTTTAATAAAACTCCATTTACTAGACTCAAAGAAAACGCCTAAAAAATACAGAAAAAAAAACACTTTTAATATTACAAAAAAAATCCTTCACTCAACTAAACTCAAGTAAATTTTACGAATCGCTTTCAGAAATATTTTTATAGCGCTTTTCGAATTTTAAATCAAAAGATCTAAACTATGTAAATTAAAGCAATAACTATGATAGCTAATCGATCAAAAGACTTTTCAACTCTTAGCTTACATTTGCCTTCTAGTCTTAAGATTAATTCCTGAATCGGGGATTAACTATTATATATATTAAAAAACAGTTTTATCGAAATTGCATTGAAGTGGAGAGAATCAGCGAGCAACATTGTGATATTAGTTGAGAACAAAATCGAATCACTTCCAACTGCTAGTTACGCTATTATTTTGGGATCTTGCGGATGCCCAAAATTCAAGCCCATAACCCTAACCCAATCCGATCTTCCAATTTGATTAAGGTGCTACATTAAGTTCGGTCTTATCTTACGGTGCTATGTACAGTGAAAAACGCTTGGTTAGTTTAAGTTCCCCTTTACGCCCCCAACACTCTGACAATCCTTAGCTGCCCAAAACATAATTCATTATTGTACTAAAGTCTCTAGGAACTCTCTTGGCAGTTCCGCCATTGTACGCTAACGTTTAACTAAATTATGAATAACTACGAGTATTTCCATTAAGTCTACTCTAATTAGTTTCTCTTCCATCGCAAAAATACGAAAATAAATAAACGAAAGGAAAACGAAAACTGAAAACTTGAGAGGAGCGGATTTTTGGAATGCGCAGCTAATGTAAAAACTCTTCTGCCCGGCAGTCTTAACCGAATGCAATCAGGAGGGGATGGGGATGGGGATGGCAATGGGTTGGGGCCTTTAGATCGCGATGCAAGGATGGGATGGGACACCGAAGGGCTGCGGCAGAAATAATGCGCGTAATAACAAACTGCAGGCGTAACTGAAATGCCAGGCTACTGCGCATTTGTCCGGCGAACCACTGAGAAAAAAATTGGACTAAAATGAAGAAAATTGATTGGGAACTATAGATTGAAAAGTTGGGATACGGGTTTTGTAAAAATACCTTTTTTTAATGGTTTTTTAAGCGTAATTTGGACAATTTAAGGCCTACAGCTATAAGACCGACTGTTTTTAGCAGCTAACAACCTAAACTAAGATTCCCCATCACTTTCCGAAAAATAAATTTTTTGTCAAAAATTTTCATTTTTTAAAAGGGGTAACATCACAATTTTTTACTAAAAATGGTAAAAATTTAAAATTTTTAAATTTAAATGCCAATCGATTGGCAATTTTATTACGAGTTCAACGAGGTATGACATTTTATATTTGGTCAACAATTTCCTTTGTTTCGGTCAAAAAACTGATTTTTTTTGGTTGAAAATCACGATTTTTTTAGTAAAAAAAAACATTTCGATTTTTGATATCTTGGCCAAAAATTGTCCAAAATCAAAGATACGTACTGTTTTAGAGAGCTTACAATATATATACTTTATAGAGCCGGAAAAATTTCCTTCTGCCACATATTTTTAAAAATATTTTTTTATTGGAAAAAAATTAAACACAATCAAAGATATTAGTAGTATTACTTTTGATAACATCTCAATTTTTGGGCAGTGTGAAATTGGCGAAGGCGTTGGCCCCGACGGACGGGAGGCGCAACTGCGGTAATTACAATTGCCGCCGGACATGGACGGCAGAAGCAGCAGCAGCAGCATCAGCACCGCACCACCGAGCGAGTTGCACAGTGGCAGGCACAGCTGTGTGGCTCCGTCAGTGGATCCTCATCCTCAGCGTCGCTTTTCGAGTCCCTGCCCAAGAGACAATTATATGCTGCCAGAGACGCATGCGCAGCTTCCTGGGTTGCTGCATTTCGTTTTTACGTTTTTATTTGAGCAAATTGCTGCAACTTTGCGCTGACTGACTGACTGACTGAATGATAGACTCACTGACTGCTCCGGAGTCCGGCTTTTGAGTCCGATCCTCAGTGACTGACAGTTGCCAAGGCCTGGGCCCCCCGACTTCCGAACTGCCCAGCTTCCAAACTGCAAACTCCAACTCCCCAGCTCTCCTCGAAAATGTCTACGTGCGGGCGTTTTGCTCAAGAATGCTCTCGGGTCGCTGGTCTCGAACGATAATGATGATTGCAGTCTAAATTATGATGCCGGGCTGCTGTACAGAGAGAAAGTGTAGCATCAGCATCAGCCGCATCAACGGCAGCAGCAGCAACAGAAGCTGCCTGCAACATCATCGACCTGGCAAGCGGCTACTCCTCCTCTTCCTTTGCCGATCAGGGCTGGAATGCAGGGGGTTATCTTACAATTTTTGGGGTTTTATTGGATCGAGTTTCAAATCACTGGTTAGGGTAAGTGTTTTTATAACAAGTTAATTGTAAAACATTTATAGAATGTATAAGTAATTCTTTTTACAGAACTATTCGTTCTTTTTATACAAAATGCAAATAATTTATTTTTTTTTCCTTTTGTGTTTCTCGAAACTTTTTTTTGCCGTACTAAAAATTGTGTCTTTAAATAAGAACGCAAAATAATATATAATAATCAGAAGAAGAATCACTTGTTCAAAAAGAATTAACGTTTTTTTAAGGAGTTAAAATTTTATATTTCTATAAATATAGCAGCTAAAGTATTGTGACCTGTTGGTCTAAAAAACATATATTATAAAAAAAAATTGTATATTATCAATTTTATAATTTGCATTTCTATTACTCGTCAATGTGATGATTTTGTAGATGTTTTTTTCTTTTTTTTTGAGACCTTAAGAAATCCCATCTTTTCACATTTTCTCAGATCCTTTCCTCAATTCCTTTTAAGTCCGCTCCTGGTTTGTTTAGCATAACTCCTCGCCGTTGGCAGCGAAGCAGAGCAGAGGAAGCGCAAAAAATCTCATAATTGCAAAGCAGTTTGCCGCAGGTGCGCCACCCGCCCTGGATGTGGATGTATATAGGATGTGGATGTGGATGTGGCTGGGGATTGGGGATTGGGCACTGGACACTGGGGATGGGGATGGGGATGGGACCCTGGACAGAGGACGCCAGATGAGCAGCCCCGATAAAGCGGCGAGCTGCACGTAAGTAGATGTGTTGTTGCTATTGGCGTTGCCTTGATGTTGCTGATGTTACTGCAGCAACATCCGATGGCAGCGACTTGGTCTCGTTCTCGTATTTAATGCATTTGATCCTTGATGCTGTTGAAAATGAACTGAGCCCGAACATGCAATCAAGTTGAGTTGAGCCACCTCTCCCCTTTCCTTTCACCTGCGAAGGCAATCTGGGCAATTTCATGAATGAAAACTTGGCTCGTTTGTGGAGTTTGCATGTTTTGGCTTTCCGATATCCACTACACGCACACCCACACGCCTCGCAGGGAAAAAGGGGCAGGGGTTTCGTAAGGGGGGGCTTTGTGAACTAGCAACATTCTGCGTCTGTTGCAGCTGCAGCGCATTAACCTCGTTCGTTGGTCTCTCCCGCCTGTAAGACTCCGAATCCGTGTCCGAAAACTCCTTCTTCGACTCTGGCAAAATATTTACCAAAGTGATTAAGATGCCTGAGTAATTTTTAACACAATTACGCTGCCAAAGAGACGACGGTGGAGTTGGAGTTGCTGCTGCTGCTGCTGCTGCGTTTGCTACCTCACTTACACCGCAGCAACGATTGCTGTTGCTGTTGCAGCTGCAATGCTGCTAATGACCAGGCACAGGCAGCAATATAAACTGTGGCATTGTCTGGAGTGAGCCCCCTTGCCCCTGCTCCTCCCCCCTTTCCCCCTTTTGGCGGACACCCAGCGACTTGTGTGTCTTTGCCATTAGCGCTGCCACACTAGGCTGGCTTTAATCGTAGCGAGGCGACTGCTTCGCAGCTCAAAACCAACAGAAAACCCAGGCGGGTGTTCACGCATCACTGTTTTTTGACAGCTTTTTTTCGCCCAGACACTCATCTATCTACGATTCCCTGTGATTTATCGAATTTATGAAGCTTTGGCAGGTGTTAGGCTCTTGCCACATTCGGACGCATCCCCAATCCCCAACACAATGTTGCCCCATTCAACGCACGACAAGCTGCAAAAAGAGTCGTGCCGCATTTGGTTTAGTTTTGGGGGCTTCGTGTGGCACGACTTTTTGCTTCTGCCTCAGAGAGTCCATTCAGATTGCCATTGCCGTGAATATGTGCACAAATGCACTAAGAGCCGGGCCATTTGTACAAAATATTTGTCAACGCGGCACTGAGAGAACAAATTGCTGCCAAACCTCAAGTGCAACATGGGTTTTTGGGCAGACAACAAATGCATCAAGTTTCTCGAGAACTTTTCTTATAAAGGGAAATTATGTAGGAAAATAGTATAAAAAATATGCTAAATATTTTCACAAAAAACTACTTTCAAAATACGTTCTAGAAAAATACATTTGGTGTTGGGACATTCCTAAAATATTAATCATTAAATATTAATATCATAATTTTAGAGAAGTAAATATTATTTATATTTAAAATTTTGATTTTATTGATATATTTTAATATCTGTTATTAAGTGTTACCATAATATATTAGAAGCGTTGTAATATTATTAATTATTATATTTTAAACATAAATCTTACAAGAATTTAAGCTTTCTGTATCGGAAAAACGATCTTCCGCTGGGGTTAGTGTAATGAAGGAAAAGGCCAGAAAAGCTGAACTCCTGGCGAAGAGGCTAATTTCCCCATAGCCAAGTGCCCGTACCTCCTTCTCCTCCCCCTCCCCCTCCGGCGACTCAATGAAAATGAAAATGAGCTCGGCACGCGTTGCCATGGCGCACGACTGGAAAATTGCAGAAGCCGCTTGGCTGCACTTGCGAAAAAGTAGAAGCGTTTTGGGTCGGAGGGTTACCGTTCCCCTTTTGCCTCTTTAAGCTCTTTTAGCCACTTTTCAGCGGTGTTTCGGCCACGTGTTGCGCATGCGCTTTACTTGGCTCTGAGGTCCAAGTCGAGAGCTCTGGACATGAGCACGACGCCCTCAGCGTTTGTTTGTCAGGGTCGACTGCGTTGCAAGTTGCCAGTTGCCAGTTACTAGTTGCCAGTTGCAAGTTGCAGGCTGCCAGTTGCAACTCGAAACTGCCGCATCGTGCAGCGGCCGTTGCAATTGTTCTTCCCCCAGCGAGTGGATGGCGTGAGGCAGCCGCAGCAGCAACAGCAGCAACACCACCGAGACCGCAGCAACACTATCCCCAGCAGCAACACCTTCACTCTCTTTGGCAGCGATATCGCGATGATGTATGGTCATGGCTGCCCCCGGAACCCCTCCTCCTTTCAAGGCCCCCCTTTCGAGTCCCCTCCTCGCGGATTGTAGGCGTCAACTCACGTTTATGCTTTGTAGACATTATCGCGCCTGTTTATCTTTAAATTGCAAGTAAATTACTTTCGGCTCGCACAGTGGATGATAAATTGTCTGGGCCGCGTTGAAGGCTCTGACGGATGCAATGAGCCCAAATCGAAGGGGGGAAATGCGCGGGGGAAAATGGGAAAGTATCAAGCTCCTCCAATTATTCGCTCACTGAATTCACAGATTCTCACCCGTTTTTCCGAGCATTTCGTGAGCAAGCTTAACGCTTAATAAATTCAAAATTAAATTAGAAAACCTGTAAAGGGGGTGACTAACCAATGGGTTCGGTTAGGTAAAATCCTTTTACCTGTTGTTTAATAAATATTTATTACATTTAAGTGGGTAAGCTCCATGAAACTGACTAGTAAAACATTTTTGATTGATTAAATCAGACATAATTGGCGCAAAGAATCTCTGATTTAACACTTTTCAAATGTATTTGAAGTACAACCATAATTCAAAATAAAACTTTATTTACAATTGACTTACTAGTTTATATTTATAAAAATCCTGAGTTTATCTTTTCAAATTGTCACCCGTTTATTCGAGTTTATTTTTTCGTTTTCTTAACTATATGCTTAATAAATTAACAGTAAGAGCGTTTGGCTAGTCAGCGGTTTAATGGACAGTGGATGTTTTTTGGAATCTCTCAATAGTGGGTCTCGGTGATCCTGACCTTTCCGTACTTTCCGTGCAGGGCGTGCTTGGCGAAGGACAGCAGGTTCGAGTGGGTGTGGGTATCAAAGTGGGCCGGGATGCTGTGGTGCACCACGGCAGCGTGGGTGTCATGATGGTGGTGGTGCACCACCGGAGCGGAGTGCAGACGGGCGTAGTGGAAGTGGGTCGGCTCATGGTGGTACACAGTGGTGGGCAGCGACTCCACCAGATGGTGATCCAAGTGGTGATCCAGATGATGGTTCAAATGGTGATCATCGTGGACAAGTGCGGCACTGTGTCCCAGATGAATGCCATCCGAATGATGGATCTCAGCGTCCAACAGATGCGGGAGATCCTCGTGGTGGTAACCATGATGGCTATCCAAATGGGGCAGAAGACCAGCCTGAGCCGCGGCCACCAAAGCCAAGATGCACACGAAAAACTGTGGTGAATAATGGAAATTTTAATTTAAATGTTTAAAACAAAAATTAAAAATTTTAAAAGAAAAACATAAAAATTCTTTCCTAAATTAATATTTATTTTAAGGCGGAATTAAATGGTCAAACAAGAAAAACTGAATGATATACTATTTTTTCGGACCCTTCCTTGGGAATTTTTAGCATTAACTAGTACATAGCTAAAGCTAATGTCCTTACCTTCATTTTGGGAGATTCCTTGCTTGAGTTGAGGGGTTATCCAATTGCTAAGCTTACGCTTTGTCGGCTGAGCTGTTGTCGTTTGACTGTGCCTGAATTGCATCGAAGCCTATCATTTTATAGAGGGCTCGGCCCAAAGAAAATTCAAACGAAATCGAAACCGTCGACGAGGACGTGATGGGAATTAATGGCGAAGCGAGTGAATGAAAGGTCTTCCCTCATTATGTAAAGGGAGTGCAGGGGCACTATTGCTGTCAACAAACCCTAAGTAGGTGCCGACCGATCCACCGATCGTGTCATAATTTTATGGCCCACAGCCCCAGTGCAATTGTTAATGAGCCGTCGGTCGTCGGATACTCCCACCTCCGGTGGGCCATTTGGCAATCCGCAATACGCGTAGTGAAAGCCCCAGTGGAATGACCAACACTTTGCCGGGCTTCCATCAACTGGGACGTGAGCAGTCCAAATATTTGGCAAACATCTCGGCCGGAGGTGCGAAAATGTGATCGACGCAAGTCACAGATCGAAAATCGCGATGTGTGGGTGCTGGTGCCGATCGCAAATAGAAGAGGTGCCAGAAATACCTGGAACCGCTTTGTTGGAGGATCAACAGGCGCGTTGAGGTGGGCGACGCGTAAAGAATCAATTGGGCGCTAATTGAATAGATCACCCCCACAAGATGCCAATTAGAGGCTTCCTAACCTAGAGCCAAGGTGGTGCAAACTTGTAAGATAAATAAAAATAGCAAACTGAACTCATTAAAGCGGCTGGGGAGTAGGAATATCATATGCATTATTCATGGGGAATTGATTGAAAATGACAAATTGAGCACTTCAGAGAAGACGATAGGCATATGAGGGCTTACCATATTTTTATTACATTTAATTATTAGTTTATAGCTCTTATCTTAAACGGGTAAGCACTTCAGAAATAGCTATAAATAATCCAATTTTTAATATTTCGAATTTAGGAAATAAAATCTGGTTTTTCTATTAGCACAGAATTTACATAATAAATATTCAATAAGCCACACAGTATTTTTTTTTATTTTTCTAGACCATAAAACCACCATTAAATAAAAATTATCTTGATTTGCCAACATGCTAGTTGTAATCCAAACATGTAAATATAAAACTTTATTAATCTGCTAATAAATCGCAGAAGTTTATTAGCCTGAACAGTTGAATATTACTTTACACTCACATATTTTAATCGCTCAAAATGGAGTTAGTATTACGGCACAATACCCCGCTGGAATAATTCACTTTTAGTATATAGATTTCCCAACCCGCCGCCGAATTTCCCAATTCGAGTCCCTGGACTGCCAGCTTCCTGTCCCCGACGTGCTGACAAAAAACACGTTCCATAACTCAGAGCCAAGAAACATGAATAAATCAGACTGATAAGAGCCGGCACCACAGCACCACCTGCTGGGATGTGGGTCAGCCTGCAGCTAATTACATAATAATTTGGTCAATCAAACGAAGCCGTGTTAATGAGCCGCACTGTATGCAGGTGACAAGCCAACTCCGCCGAACTTGGCCCACAGGTGGGGAAGGTGGTGGTGGTTTTTGGGGGGAGTCGGCATACTGAACCCACGTGCTACGTGCGAACAACTTGAAATGCCAGACAGGTGTCGTTCCCCAATAAGTCGGCGGTGCGAATTTGTTTGGCGTTCAGAAGCGCGATCGCAATTTGTGCCCGCCTCACAAATAATCAGAACAAAACTTAAATGTTCTAGCCAGAACGTAGATTTCTATAGCTGGCCAATCAGTTTGCCGATATATCTCGTCGGGCGGTAAAAATGTCAGCACATAAAAAAATGAAAAAGTGTCGGTGTGCCAATAAAAACAATTAATTGCTAATTTATTGATTGCCGCTGTCTTACAAATAATTAGGAACGTTTTTTTATGGTAAGATATGTCTAATCAACCGAAAACCGCTCTTAGAGGTGGTAAAATGACGTGACGATCGTACTTTAAAGTGACAGTAAATCATTTAAAATTATATTAAAATTATATTATATTATTGTCATATAAAAAGGGATATTTGCAGAGGATTTTAGTTCGTCGCTTAGTTACTATGCGAAATTTGAATTAAGTAAGTAATATTTTTCAAGTAATACGTCGTCTTCTTTTTCATATCCTTTTCTTAATTTTGAATAATAGCTAAGGTTTTTATTATTATTATTATTTTTATTATCTTGCAAAATTAAACAAAAAAATATACAAATTATTGGTTCTACTGGCAAGAAGCTAATAATGTTTATTAAAAAATTTGCCAATTTTAATTCACTGTTTACTATAAAATGAGTAGTTTTAAGGGCAACAACGGGGCAATCATACGGCTATTATTTATATAGCTGCTGGTAATCGAGCGGGAGGCATAACAAAAGCAGAGCAGAGCAGCGCCGCGTCGAAATTAAAAATGAAAATAAAAATAAATAAACTATAATTTATGCGACGTCACCGCACTGGTCGCTGTAATTGAGTGCATCGTTAGTCGGTTGATGGAGCGGATAGTGGGTCGAGGGGGCCAGAGGGGCCTAGAGGGGCCTAGAGGGGCTAGGGGGGCGGAATACGGACCCAGGGGGCGGTGGTCTGCATTAGCTGCCACTACCGATGCCAACAACTAATTTAATGCCAGCGGCAGCAACATCAGCAACAACAAGCGACGGCAACATGTCAACAGCAACGCCTGACCAAGGATGAGTGGGAAGGAGAAAAAAAGGGGGGTACTGCATATATGTATATCGGGTGAAATGGGGGGCTATACACTCTGCATACTTAATGTCTGGCCACCACAGCCCACCCCATTGTGGGCAGATATTTTATGAATCTGCGGCTGAAATCATTTTTGCCACACATTCGCCTCGCCTCGACCACAAATCAGCGGAATGAGAAATTTGATGGTAATTAATATTGTAAGCGAAATTAATGGCAATGCGACACTACACAGATACGTGCATATAACTATGCATATATGCAGGAAAAATACACGAGAGTGTTTTAGACAATTGGAGCACTTCAGCTGGGTATGGCAATCAAAGCTGTCGGGATCGAGGGAAGAGATCAAAGGGGATCTCCATCATTCTGCACATATTTGTTGTGTTAGACTATATAAACTAATTTATGGTAGACTAAGAAATTATGGAACGGTTTATGGAAGTTTACCCACAAGGAAAGCCAGCTTATATTTTGCAAAGGACATTTCTTAAGAGTTATTCATCAATTAAGTGACATTTTTGTATTAAAATTGAAGTTAAATCAAAGTATTATATTTTAAAATTAAACCTAACATGTAACTAAAAATGTGAATACTTTATAAAGATCACGTATCATTTTTCTCATGCTCCATTTATACCAATCACCCGAATGGAATTCCCATATTCCCTACGGAATTAATTTCGCAATCATCAATGGGGATATAGGGAAGACAACAATATGGATAATCGCCCCGACGGCTGCTACCTTGATTACCCTTCCTGGGAAGCTTCATCAAGAGTGGGTTCGGTAGCTGCCTCCTCATCGCTGCCATTGCAGGTGTTTCACGTGGCACTGTTCCAATTTGTAAGCGAATATTGTTTTCGATTGGGTCCAGTGCACGATTTTTAATCATTACGGTGGCGATCTTCATATGAGTCCGTGTCTGTGCCTCAGCCCCCGATTGCCGATACAAATTGCCTAGCCGAGAGCTGGTAGCCCATTCCATTTCCCCCATCGCCGATCGGCCATTAGCTCGTTCTCCCCCTCTCGATTATTGCATTTTCGCCAGGTAATGAAGTTCAACAAAAAGTTAATCGGAAAAGCGCAGGCCCCGCAACTAAATAGACAAATGATACGGAACGGAAGCTGCTCCAGACAGTCTCTCTCCTCTTTTTCCATCTGATCTCTTGGCTTTTACTATACTCCTCCGCGGGCTTCTCACTCGAAGCACTGGAAAAAATACCAGCAAATATCTGAATTCAATTGTTATATTTTTGATGATATAAAGCTTTCAAGAGAGTATCGAAAAAATATTTAAAATATCAAGAAACATCAAAGGAAGTCATATAGGTATTTAATATTTTAGAAACATCTTCTCATCGTTTATCTACCTTACTTTTGATAAAATATCTTTCCGAATTTATTTGTAGTGCATTTACCCTTCTGGCCAATTGTGCGGTGGGTTTTGCTTGGCACATTAGCGGCTATAAATTGTCTTAATGCCCGCACACAAATACAGATCTTCAGAGCCAGAAAGCTGGGTTCCAGCGGGGCTTTCAAAATCGAAGGAGATCGGGGAAGAGCAGACACCTTGAATGGCGGCAAAGATCAGACTCGAGATTCAGGCGAGAGTTGCGAACTTTAGCCAGGCTGCGATTGTCTCAGTCTCCGTTGCAGTCTGCACTCTGATTCAGATCTTCATACATGATCATATAACAAGAGGGTATGTGGAAGTTGGCAAAGCGATGCTTGGAATACCCTATACAAATATTGGTTCGGCAAATAACTGATATTATTTCTAGAGGTTAATTAAAAAGCTCATTCTTCTGAGCAAAGTTTAGGAATGAGTAATGATGTATGCGTTAGGCATACAAATTATAACCATTAGCCGCCAATAATTGGAACTTATGAGTTTTCCCACAACATGAAGCTATGTTATTTAGGATAATGTTTTATTTTGATTTAAGTTTTTTTTTTATTTTTAAACAATCTTATATTTGTTAAAATTAATTCTTGTAAATAATAAAAATGCATTCTAATTATTCCCGACATTTTAAAATAGTAGTAAAGTAATAATATCCCTGATAGGGTATACCGAAAACCAAGAAGGATTTCAAGAGGAGGTGGGATGGTGGGATGGTGGGATGGTGGGATGGTGGGATGCTGAAGCTCTCGGCCCGACTTGAGCCTCGCTGGCCCCTAGCTTATGCAACTCCTTGGCCCCACTTGCATGTCCAATCGCTGCGAGATTGTGAAAATTGTAACGCTCGATTGAGAGCTCAAAGTTGCTGCTGTTGCTGCTGTTGCCGCCGTGCTGCCGTTGTTGCTGCTGTTAATAATATTGCACAAAGGCTGAGTTTGCGAAAGTTCGTCAGTTCGGTG